CACCATAGGGTTCACATGAATGTTCATACCTTGATATAGGCACGAAGATGAACGATTGTTCATACACATATTAATTAATACAAATTTTTGACCAATTTATCCTTTGAACAATTGTTCATACACATATTAATTAATATATTAATTAAATTATTGTTTATTTAATCTCATTTAATAATAACCGTTAGATAAGARAATGAACGATTAAGATGGGTTAGCATAGTTTGCACAAAATATTGGGTTAGTATTTGAACCAGCCCCTATATATATATATTACAACATGAGTTCAAACTAGAACACCGCTATTTTACAAAAACACGAGAACAACTATATCACATGTAAATTAAAATCAAAGATGTCAACGATCTTTGGCAACCAAATTAGAGATTCATGCAACCTTGGGGCAAGTCCTGTGCAAACCACCAAGTAGTGATGGCCAAAAACCGGTCCGGTTTGGGCCGGGCCGGTCCTTACATGTCCCGGGACTCAACAACGCCCCGGTTCCGGTCAAAAAGAGTGAGCCCGGTTAAGGTGAAGTGTAACCGATTGGTGAGCCAGTCCCGGTCCCAACCAATCCCGACCATTAAAAAATAATTTAATTTTTTAATGATATATATTTTTAATGCATTATAAAATTTGTAATTGAGTCACTCAAATATACTTTAAAAATGCGTTTTATTATATTTAAAATTACATTTTTTTTCCCAAAAATACATTATAAAATTATTTGAAAATACACTTATTCATCAATCATCATCGGTATCTCATGTCGGATTGATTTGAAGAGTTTCAGTCTCTTGAATTTTTCTAACAAACTCTTGGTCATCAATGTCGAGTTCCTCATCATCGTCATATTGTGAGTAAATGTCGTCGGTATCAGTAGTTGGCCGCGTGCTTAGTCCCATGGCGATTTCATTTTCTTCCAGTTTTTCTTCTGCCGCTTCAATCTCCACCTCTAACGATGTCGTGTGTTGATATTTATCAACGCTATCCAAGTAATCCTTCAAACAGATGCAACACTCCACGGACTCCGGGCTTAGTCTTGTCCGACGTATCAAAATGATCTTGCAACTAAGAGAAAAACGGAATCCAAAGCTACGGGGTCCTAGCTTGGGTTGTTAGTATATCATGTGTTATGCATGCCAAAACCGGGAATTGAGGTTGTTTTTGTTTCTAAAAATCTAATACATCAATTTTTTCAAAATCTTCGACATCATTTTCAGGGCATGTGGCCATAAAATTAGTATGTACATACATATTTAGGTCACCCAAATCGTTATCAAATCGACATTTTTACTTGATTCATTTAAAACCTCGTTCATTAAATTAGTCATCAACTCTTCCAGGCTTTGGCCATGACCACTAAAAAAAATAGAACCCGCAAATCCACGACTTGAAGAGCTTTATTGTTGGTTTTCTCCTCCATAAAAATGTTTATGATGATCAAATAAATCTTGAAAATTAAGATTAAACAAACAACCATATTTGACCTTGAGTGTCAAGTATCAATTGGCTTGAATCGGCCCCCGACCTCAAACCCGGACATGTTTTTTCGGTGTGCCGCTTTAAAGTAGAATTTTCTTCTTTCATAAGGAGAGCTTGACACATTTTGCATTGTGCCTTTCTTTACCCGTTCGTGAGGACCACCAAGTTGTATGAATTCCAAATTAAGGACTTTCGTCCGTGTTCTGCGAGAACTTGGACAACTTGTTCGTTTGATGCATCATGTTGTTCACCTGCCATTTTATAAGACAAAGAGAGAAACAAATGAAAATTGTGAAGTGAAAACGAGCCGAAGTCACAAAATATAGAGAGAAACCGAGAATGCGTTTTTTTTCTTCGTTTTTTGCGATTTGTAAGTTGGTATGTAAACCCCTCAACCATGACGCTCATATATAGTGTTTAGAAGACAAAAAATACAAAAATATGGTCATATAACGGTCAAAAAACGACTATATTTAAAAAAAAAGGGTCAAATTTTTTAAACAAATGAGCCGGGCCGGACCAGCCCCTCGAAACTCTCCAAATCAGCAATCGGTCCCGGTTTCCGGTCCTACAACCAGTCCTTACCTGTCCGAATCCGGTCCTCCAGCGGTCCCGGGCCGGGCCGGGCCGGTTTGGCCATCACTACCACCATATATATAGACACACACACACACGAGTGTCCTGTATTTTCAAAAACTGGTGGTAATTTTGTTTGAACTTGCCCCTACAATATATATGTGCATATATATATATATATATATACAAAAGAGTTCAAACGAGAACATCCTTGTTTTACGAAAATGTGAGAACACTTCAGACCTCTAAATTAATTAACACATAGTAAAAATTAGAATAAATGAAAATAAATTAGTATTTATCCATAATTTATGTTATCTTAGATTTATCCGTATTTATTAAATATTACTAGTATCATTGGAGACTTGTTATGTCGATACATTTGTTGAAGATAATAATGTGATAATGTTGTAATAATGATCTGATTTTGATGTGATAATAATGTGATAATGTTTTAATAAATTGAATATTTTTTATGATGTGATTTTGCTGTGATAATCACGTGATAAATTATGTGATTTTGTTGTGATAACGATATGATAATGATGTGATAATTGAAAGCCAATGATGATCACGTCTACAATCAACACTCTGTCTATTCACTATGTGATTTTATTGTGACAATAGTGTGATAATGATTTGATATCAAGGAGTATATTATTTGTAAGTAATTTTACTGATAAAGATATCACCAATATTACAGATAAATGCACATTACATGACTATTCTTAATTAATTACTTTATTTTCTTTTAATTTTAATTATTGGTTAAATAATTTCTTGGAGGCTTATAAATGTTCTTGCATTCTCATAATATGAGGGTATTCTCGTTTGAACCACCACACACACACACACACACACACATATATATATATATATATATATGTGTGTGTGTGTGTGCGCGTGCACACACACGTGTGTACATGAGGTTGGGTTCAGGTGAGAATTAAAGTTATAGTGAGAAAAGTAAGAAGAGATTTTCACTTTTGAATCGATCCTAATTGAAGATTGATGTGCTAGACTCGTAAGTGTGCACACAGTGGGCACAAAGTCCCCAAAGTGGCGGTGCAAGTGCACGCCGACACTATGATCGCTTCAAGTAATAAAGTGGTATAGTACCAAGATCGTTTCCACAGGGACTGGACTTACTGAGAATCAGAGACTTTCATGAACTTCTTGAGCATGTTTCGGTTTTGAGAAAATAGTTGAGTTTTGTTTGTGCAAAGCTTTAAAATATGAAATGAACCTTTAATATTAAAAGATGGGCATGAGTGTAAGCTTCCCTTAAGAAAATTGTTGGAACAGTTTGGTCAGGAACTCATGAGACTTCTATTAAGTACTCCGATATCTCGAAAGTGAATTCTTATATATTGTGCCCACAGAATGCCCACAAAGCGTCCAGTTTTATCAATCTTAAACATGCCGAATTAGCTAATAGATAAAAAGATATCTGATTCCACTAGCCTGAAGATTTATACTCAAATCTCTTTGTAGCATAAACTCGACTAATATCTGAACATTAACTAAAAACATGCAGAACCCGCATCTCTGCGTGATTATCAAAGACTCTCTTAAATCTTTGTGCATCATCTAAGTCGTATTTCAGATCCGCCCATCTCTAGATCAATGATCTAATATTAACACTTCAAAGTGATCAACTTATCTGCGTTGAGCTTAAGTCCCGACTTAAATGACCAATCTTAAGAATCAATAAAATTGGCAACACCCAAGTGCGCCTTCAAATTCTTAAGTTTGACTTACACCCACACCCAAAGGGGTGCTTAGCTCATAATAAAATTAGAAAACATAGATGAAACAGAAGAAGAAAAATGCATAAGAAATACTTGAACTGAAATTGCACTTAAACTGCTGCCCATAGAGAGCATACAATGCACAGTGGCGAGAATTAAAGACTAAATACGAAACTAAAATTAAATGCAGAAATTAAACTTGTTCTACTGCTGTAGAGCTAGAGAGAATGCTCCAAGGTTGCTTGGCTGAATTGTTGATGGATTGATTGTCTTCCAAATGAGAGAAAAACTTCAATATATAGTGAAAAAGTGAGAACCGGACAAACTCTTCGCCCAAAGGAAGAAAGTCTTCATTGACTAGAGGGTAAGGACCCTCTATCACTTATTGTCTACTTTCCAGGCCTTGTCACCTTTTGGAAAGGTTGAAAAAAAGGTAAAGTTACCTAACCCTTAAATTAAGGAAAATGTAATTAAGGCCTTTCCATTAAAATAATGGTAGGGTTACTTTTAAGACATTTTTTAGTCTAACAAGACCCATTCTTCTAAATAATTCAAGAATTTCGGATCTGACTTCAGAATTAAATCCCATTAATATTCAGGAGAGCCAGTATTTGAATTTTGTTCAAATTCGTCTTGAGGAAAATATGTCATAGGAAGAATGTGAGCAGAAAGTGGGCATTATACCAACAACAATGGTTTTTCAGAAAATAATCAAATTCTGGATCTTTCATCACTTCTTAACATATTTTGGACCAAAAATATATGATATGAACAAAATGGGTACCAAAGACACAATAAAATAGAGGTATTGAACAACAAATAACTCTCACAAATTGAGAGTTATCAAAGATCAACACTAATACACCACACACACACATGGTGCATTCCAGTGAGAATCAAAGTTATGATAAAAAGAATAAGAAGAAATATCCATCATTGGATCAATCCTAATTAAAGATCAACACTTTATGATGCATCAGATTAATTCTCGTGATAAGTAATTCATAAAATATGGGCCAGAGTTCAATTTTATAAGTGCATGAGTTCTTGTCAAGTATTTATCAGAACAAATTATATATAATAATACAAAACGTAAGTATTTGAAATCCATTTTTAAAATGATTTTAATAATAATAATAATAATATGTTTATTTTAATAATGAAACACATTTTATAT